ATTCAGGAGCATGTTGTTTAATTTGCACATATTTGTAGAGTTTCCAAAGTTACTCTTGATGTTGATTTTTAGTTTTATTTAATTGGAGTCTGATAAAACATTTGATATAATTTTAAGTTTTAAAAATTTGTTTAGACTTGTTTTGTGTCGTAACATATAGTCTATCCTGGAGAACATTCCATGTACTCATGAAGACAATGTGTATTCTGCTGTTGTTTTATAAAATTCCTTTAATATTTTATACAATCACAGAATAGAGTTAAGGGAAACCTGAGAGATCATCTTGCCCTAACCCACATTTTGCACAAAAGGAAACTGTTATCAAGAAAACTATGTGATATGCCTTTAAAAAGCAGTGTTTCCTGTAGAACTCAGATCTTTAATCTGCTCCTTGTTTCACTACAGCAGCAGTTCTCAAAAGTATGGCTCAGGGACCCCTCGGGATTCCAAGAACCTTTGAGGAGACTGTGAGGTCAAAATTATTTTCACAATAATGGTAAGACCCTATTTGCCTTTTCACTCTCATTCTAGCTTTGACGTTTTCCAGAGGTTGCATGACATGGGCTGTATCAAAAGAATGAATGCAGGTCGGAATCGGCGGCTCATGCCTGTCATCCCAGCACTTTGGGAGGCCGAGGCAGGTGTATTACCTGAGGTCAAGAGTTCCAGACCAGCCTGGCCGACATAGCAAAATCCCGTCTCTACTAAAAATACTAAAAATTGTTCAGGTGTGGTGGCGGGCGCCTGTAATCCCAGCTATCTGGGAGGCTGAGGCAGAATTGCTTGAACCCAGGAGGCAGATGTTGCAGTGAGCCCAGATTGCATCACTGCACTCCAGTCTGGGTGACAGAGCAGACTCTGTTTCAAAAAAAAAAAAAAAAAAAAAAGAATGCAAAAGCAGATATGAGATTCCAGTGGTTTTCCTCTTAAGCTAGACATTGGAGAAATTTGCAAAAATAAGAAATAGCATCAATTTTCTATAAAAAATGCAATTTATGTTAATATGTACAATGCCTATTATTATTATTATTTTTGAGACGGAGTCTTGCTCTGTCGCCTAGGCTGGAGTGCAGTGGCGCTATCTCAGTTCACTGCAAGCTCCCATTCCTGGGTTCATGCCATTCTCCTGCCTCAGCCTTCTGAGTAGCTGGGACTACAGGTGCCCACCACCACCCCGGCTAATTTTTTATATTTTTGGTAGAGACAGGGTTTCACCGTGTTAGCCAGGATGGTCTCGATCTCCCAACCTTGTGATCCACCTGCCTCGACCTCCCAAAGTGCTGGGATTACAGGTGTGAGCCACCATGCCTGGCCTATTGTTATATTTTTAAATATGGTAATATTGAGTAACATAACCTGTGTATGTGTGTGTGTATGTAAGTGTGTGTGTATGTATGTACATATGTGTGTGTGTGTGAGTATATATATATATGAGGTTTTGGTGCTCTCAAGAATTCGTAGGTATTATCCCAATAAATAGAATGATGTCATTAAAAGAAGGAAACAAGGACAACAACAGCTACCAATTTTTAAAAATTAATAGTGTTATAAAAATGTCTTCTGTGAATAGACAGTGGAGACTCAAAAGGGGGGAGTGGGGTCAGTGATGAGAAATTACTTAATATGTACAATGTATACTATTCCAGTGATGGCTACACTAAAAGCCCAGACTTCACCACTATGCACTATATTCATGTAACAAAACTGCACTTGGACTCCATAAATCTTACAAATAAAAAGAAATGTATTCTGTGGCACTCTCCTTCTTCTAAAAATAGCTTGGGCTGTTTTGGAATAATTTTTAACTTATTATATGTGATTGCAAGCTCCTTATGCGCCTTGGAATTCAGAATTTCATGCTTTCACTTTCACAACTAACTTCATTTAACTTTATGAAGCTTGTGCTAAATATATAAATGCTTAAGGATATATGGAAATCATTGAAAATGCTAAATTAAAATGATTTTAAACTAGTTTTAAATTGTGTCATCTTTACAAAAAAATTTTTTTCAGAGAGTTATGCTGTTTTCTACTCGTCGTTTAGTTAGGTTTATCGAAGGGGCAGATGAGAGGAGAAATTCCCCTTCTAAAACAAATGAAAAGGACACACAAAAATATTCTTCAGTTTCCCTGCCGATGTGGGTTTCTGCTCAGCCCTGATTTCACTGATTTTTTACCTGTCCTCACTCCAATTTTTTTTTAGTGATCGGTTTTAAATCTTAATTCTGTAAATAGATCTACCATTTTCTTAGAAAATGAGCTATTTCTGGGCAGAACTGAAAAGAGGTGGGGACTGGATTCATGAAAGGAACTTTTGGGGGCCTTTGTGAACAGGAGTTCTAGAACCACTAGGGAAGCTGAAATATTACTCCTCATAATTTTTGTATGACGTTCTCTTCAATAAAGGGTGTCAATGTAGCCTTCCAGTTATGTATGTCATAATTAGATGCATATAAAGGAGGAACAAACCCATGCAGTTTCTAGAACAACAAATTAGGGGAAAGATAGAGTGGAAGTATCCTCTGTCATGGTTCTTACATTCTTATGCTGACCTGAAACCACATTTTTGTGATTGATGAAGGTCATAAGAAAGACTATTTCCTTCACTGAACTTGTCTATTATTCTCACAAGTCAGTTATTCTCTTGGTCTCATTGGGCATGTTTTCACCCAATTTCCTTATCAGTTAGTGCTGGGAAGATAAGAACTTTGTATTTTATACACTGTACTGTAACATATAATATACATAAATATGAAACAAAAACAAATTCATTGTGATTTCATTTTCTCCCACAATGAAAGAATAGATTTAATCCTTTACCTAATTTGCATCCTTTGCTCTTCCAATCCTGTTCAATAATTCATCAGAAGGCAGTAACTTAGTGGTAAACAACATATTGTTTCCCCTTGTTGGTACTTAGTAAGCTTTAGCTTCTGCAATCTGTTCTCGTGAAATGAATCCCATAATTCCTTTAATCATTTTAGTTACTCTTCTCTGGATCCATTCAATTAGATTACAACTTTTTGGCAAGATAAGTACTTGAGTTGAACAGTCTTTCCATATGTTGTCTCAGAAGAGTGGTAAGGGAAAGGCTTGTATCATTTACATTCACGGCTCAATGGCTACATTCTTTTTGACAAAGATAGCTTTCTGGATATAGTATGTATTGAATAAGTGCTTGTGAATGAAAGTGTTTAATATAGACTTATTGACCATTTATTGTTTTTCTAATCTATTTGTTAAGCCCTTTACTGACATTTGGTTTCTCCTTTGGAAAAACATTCTAAATAATAGTAATACTTTTAAAATACGTATCATGCTAATATCATAAATTAGGTTATATACCATATGTCCAACCAAGCTTTAGAACACTTTTTACAAAAATGGGCAAATCAAGGGTTCTGGAAAGGATATTATAAAAAACTCATGGATACACATTGAGAAGAAGAGATTGTCCAAATAAGGTAAGGAAAAGAAGATAAAATGAATCAAATTGCATATTCAATAACAATAAAATTCCCAGGAGAAAATTTGGGTAAGTAATACTATGAAGAAATGATTTTTTTTTTAACATGTCCCAATACGTAACTGAATATGTAAACCAGCTTGGAGTTTTTTTCTTTGACATGGGAAAGGGAACATTTTAGAAACAAAAACGAAATTTTTCACAAAACATTTTTTTCCATACCTCAGTGGCACCTGTTTTGCATGGAGACAAGCACATGCAGGAAAAAGTTGTAAAAGTGGAAGTAAACGTGGTTTCAGAAGAGGATTGAGAAAATCTTAGGTAAGACTCTGGTATAAGGCATTGTGGGAATTAAACACCCTACTAGAGATCTGGGGGAAAGCACCAAGAGCAAGTCAAATACTACAATAGGAGATAGAATCCCTTTTCTTGGGGGAGGTTCAAGAATCCAAAACAGCCATATTCAGGATGCAGCTTCAGGTATCAGCATCAGAACTAGGTCCAAATCCAAGATCTGGTTGTAGATCAGGCTACTCAGAACAGAAGCTTTAGAGTCAGTCATGGAACCAGTACCAACGGAATGGAAATAGGAATAGTTAATTACTGTCTTTAGGAAATGGGGCTTTTGAAATGGGCCAAGAGACTCAGGCAGGATTGACTGGTTATAGTATTGGCTTGACCTTCCTCAGGCCCAGAAGACCTGGACAGAAGTGATTAGCCATGGAGACTATACACTTCCACATGGAAAATACTTAGAGAGAATTTGGTTTGGTTCAGAAGAACTCCATATTCTCCTTTATCAACTATACTTGAAGTTGAGTTGATGGCAGCAGAAGTGTGATTTCAAACTCCCTTTACTAGTGAAGAGAAAGCATTCCCTATTTCCTCTACTGAGTTAGGATTGTTTATGGGACCCTATGGGACAGCCTGTGGATTATTCCATATTCATTGTGGACAGTGGAGATGGTCTGGGATTTGTCATAGACTGACATTGGAGAATTGAAAAGGCTAAGGAAAGATATTTCAGTTTTATAATGAAGGTCCAAAATTAATCTGAAGGCCAGAGGGACCCAGAAAAGAAAATAAAAATGAGAATTACTAATGAGTGGATCTTTGCCATTGGTAAAAATCTGGGTCACTTATAGCTGTATTTTTCCATCTGTGCTTTTGTCTGTGGGCTTTGATAGCATAGTTGTCTAATAAGTGTTTCAGCATCTGAATCTGACAATAGATATCATTCCAGAATACAATTGTTATGTAACAAAGATTCTGTATTCTGGAGAAAAAAGTCAATCAACACAATTTTAAGCTTTCTATGTCTTTTGTTTGCAGGGATTCAGGCATAAACAAGCATTTGTCATTCGATTCTTCTAGTGCATTTCTAGCATAGTGTGCCTTGGGCATGACACATCAGGGTCTGATGTTTATCTTTTATTACCTACCAGACCTCTCTGGAAAAGCCTCCATGGAATTCATCATCTGCAGTCTTTGTTGTAGGTACACATATAAATACATGTTGAACGCATTCGTTGAGGATATTGTGGTTTCTAAAGCTGAACTTAAATAAAAAGTATTGAGATGAATAATGAAGAGGACTTTCTGCAGAAGGTATGAAGCTAATCATTAAAATGTTTTTAACTAAAATATTGACAGCAAATCTTTAAAAAAATGTGAAGTATTTGAGTGCCAGTAAGAATAAGTGTAGCATAATTGTACTTGTTGTATGTCCACTTTGGAGAAGTTAATGAAAAATTGCCCTTCTCTACTACACAGTGAGTTTATAAAGATAATGAAAACTAAACAGTTCAAAATATTAATCTAGGAAAGCTCATTTGGTTTTAATAGTCATTTAGATTCAATAGGCACCAAGTTTCAGAAGAATACGTATGCTATAAAAAATTTTATTTCTATTTTGGTTGTTATTGAGAGAATAATGTTTTGTTTTTCTCAAAGCTTTAGCCTCATTCTAACAAATATGCTTTGAGATTAAATGACTAAAGGTGGAAACCTGTTTTCAAATTATATTTGAAAGGCACAGCATGAATAGTGATAGCCACTCATTGGGTCTAGCATATATTAAAATAATCAGTTGTCAGCATATAGCATTTCTCCTCACTTCTTAATGTGTGTGTACCCAACCTTTACTCTTGTATTTCTGACCGACCATTTTGAAAGACTGAAGTACAGACTTGGAGGCAAGCTGTGGTAAAATTTGGGAGGATGTGGGTTATCTTTATTAAATTAAGAAAATATATTGCAAGAAGCATACCTACTATGTGAAGAGTGCAGTGAAAACCAGTGCATTATGTATGAAATAGTGGCATATAGAGAACAAACCTGGTTCCCACTTATGCATGGAGTGTAGAAGATCGCTAACATCTAAGAATGGGTTCACTGATCTGTATAGTGAATACAAGCAGTTGTTTTGAAAGAGACAAGAACAAATGCACTTTCCATAAGGAAACTGGGCAAGGTTGTGTGAAGAAGGGACTCCCTGAGGCAGAGGTGTGGCTTATCCTGTACTGTCATGTCACTGTTGTAGGCATCAAATGGTGGTTTGTGTGATTATAATGAATTCAGCTAAAAGTAAATTCATAGCTGCAAATGAAGGTTTATAGAAAGAAAGTAAAGGTGATTAGCATGTACATTATTAGCTTTTGGGGATTTCGATTTCTAACTATGTAACTTCTTGGGCTAGGTTTTACTTACTACTTCTGAACCCACAGCAAGAACTCTGCTTTCTTCCTCAGCTCCCACAATTTTAGCCCAGGATTCCAGGTGATGCAGCTCCTACGAAAGCCGTTAAAAGCCATGCCCTCCTCAAGACCAGTCTAGACCAAATGTTGATTGTTTACTCTTAGGAGGGCAGAAAAATGAACAACATGATTTTTAAACTGCACAATTCTCACAGCAAGAGACATTCTCTGTCTTTTGAGGAAAGTTCCTTTGGAGTTGGAATAGAGCATTGTATTTACTAGATGTTATAAAGGTGAATGTTGACTGTCCACTTGACCCAACTCCACTGAGTAAGCTCTTTTATACTCTCCTGTATAGGGTCACATTCTCAGGAAGTGAAAGAATATGGAAGGAGGCAGAGAGATGACATGTGACATTCCTTTTCCAGCTAACTGATGTCTGGTAAAGGACAAGATTGTGTTTCATACTAGATGCTCTGGGAACGTGAGCAAGAGCAGCATGAAGTAAACTACAAAACACAGCACCTGAACAAAAGCTCAATGGATTCCGAAAAGCAGATAGTGTGTATGGAGAAAATCTCTCAGAATAATTACTTCCCCAACCTGAACAAATTCTTTGTTAGAATCTTCAGTAAAATGAACAGTTATTAATCTTAGATTTGGTATTTCCCTAAAGAATATTTTACTGAGATTCTCTATTTAAAACAATGCTGTAAAGTCATGCATTCAGCCACATTCTTAGCAGTGGCAAACAAAAAATAGATTGAAAACACATTCTTATTTCTTATAGTAGACCCTATGGGGTGTATGAAGTTGAGAAATTGAGTGAAAGAGTAGCATATCATAACAATTAAAATCTGTTTATCAAGAACCTTGTGTGTGGTGCTGAGCTGGGTAATATGTCAAGTGAGTAAGATCTGTTCTCCGCCCTTCAGATATTTATAACTCAATACAGAGAACACTGACACAGGTAGACACAGTTCTGACGTTTCCATATCACAGAAGGAATGAATGTCATCTGGGGTGAAGTCAGAGATCCATCCAGCTCTGCAGCCTGTATCTGTTGGGGGCATGAAGTGCACCCCATGGGAGGCTCTGCCTGACCTTCTAGAGGCTTGCTTCAAGAGGCTAGAGGTTTACCTACCCCAACTCTCCCTGCTTTATGCTGTTGTCTGTGTGACTCTAGAGAACACCTGATTCTTGTTTTATATTTTCCATTTGTTTTGTCTTTTAGAATTCAGAAGATTTGTCTTCTGAAGATTTCAAGGTTTATAGTTCATTTTATAGTTATTTACCTCAAACCTACCTACTTCCAGTGTATCAACTAGCTCTCCATTTAAGAAATCTCAGTGGAGAGAGAAGACAAAAATTAGATGAGAGTTTCAAGAGCAGTGGGTTAAGCTCGCACTTCCTGAAATCAGAATGCCTGCATTTTAATCTCGGCTTTGCTACTTACTAGCTGTGTGATGTGGGGCAAATTATTGGACTTCTCTGTACCTCACTGGGACATTAATAGTGTCCACAGGAAGAGATTTTGTGGAGATTAAATAAATTAACACATGCAAAATGCTTAGAACTGTGCTTACAATATAGTGAGAACTCATTAAAAAGGAGTCACTCATTACATATACTTTATTTTGTTATGTTGACCTCTAATAGCTCTCCTGTTTTCATTTTTACAGACTTAAAGAGTTTTACGCTTTCCTTTACATGATGGAATGTATTTGCTTATGATAGTAATGATAACAATTATATATAATGTACCTTTTTACATAAACATATATCCATCCACTTCTAGCCTATAAAGGCTTTCCTAAGGCACAATGACTAGAACTATTTTTAACAATCTAGTTACAGACATATTATAATTTTTTAAAAGGATAGAACACTTTTCCCTCTCATATTTAAAGTATTTTCATATTCATATTTGCAGTATTTTTATACGCTGCAGCAGCCCATTAGCTGATATCTTCACTAACAGTTCCATAACGTTCTTGGATCTTTTTCATACTGTATACAGAGCCCATTATCTTAAATATATATTATATATACATGAATATCTAAATTTTTTCCACGTCTTTTTACCTTTGAAACATTTTTGTTGCTTTTCTGCTCACCCACAAAGTCTTCACAAATTATTTTTGTCCGTCTGCATGGATAAATATATTTTTAGCCATACAATCTTAATTTCTCTAAAAAATATGGAGAATTTTTTGATATACTTATGAACATACTAAATAAAACAAAACTTTTTGCTTCCTTTATTATTTTAGTTTTCTTTATTATTTAGCTTCATATTATCAAAATCACATGGTGTTAGACCTTTGTAAAAATTATGTTTTTCCTTCTCTGAAAATGTTTGGTTAGGTATATTTTTCTTGTGTAGAACTTCTATTGTAGATTTTGCATAACTTGCCCATAGAGGTGAGATTTGTTTATGGGTTGATGCCACTGTGTTGGGAATAAAAACGAGACTCATAGCGTTTCATATGGAAGCAGCTATATCATTTACATTCTGATACTTCTTTCACACAGAGTTCTCAATAATGATTGTTGCTTTATCATTCTTGGTCACATGTGAATGTTCCACCTAATCCACCAGCTTAGATCTAGGTTATTATCTTGTAATAATAATGAGGATTAAAAAGTCAGAAAGTGAAAATTTGATGGTAGAAGTGGAAATTAACCAGGTTGACCCTGACATTTGGCTATCTAATCTCCCCACAAATGTGATTGGAGATGAGAAACTCAACACTTTGACAAATAACCCATTCCATTTTGGGCCCATTATATTAAGTAAAATTCTGATTCCTTGCAAATTCCAAGAAATTTATCTGGATTTTCCTTCTGTGCTTTGTTTTACTTCAAAAGATAGAGATACTATTGAACTCTCACTCGAAGTGTGGAGGTTTTTTTTTTTTTTTCTTTTAGACTTGGATTTCCTTAGTTTTAAATATTTTGTCACATATAAAGTTTTTAAGCAGCATGAAGAAATGAAATAAGAGTTGCAAACCACACATATTTTAATTCTGCTATGTTTTAGGTATGAAGCCAGGCAAGTTGCTGTATTTATCAGATCCTCAGCTGCCTCACTGAAATATATATACATATATATATTTATATAAATATATGTATATATGTGTCTATATAGATATATAGAGAGTGAAGGCATGCATACACACACACACACACACACACCAGAGACAGAGAAAGAGAGAGAGAGAACATTTTAGCTATTTCAGAAAAGCATGAGAAATAATGTTTTCTCAGTATATTAAGTGGGGTAATCATAACCCTAGGGAAAATGGCTGATATTGAGGATAACTACGGTGAAAAAACCCTAAAGAAAAGGTAAAATTTATAGAGTAAAGCTACAGAGGCATTGTAGAGCAGACTTTCACCAGCACAAGCCCATCTAAGTGAAGAAGCACAGGTCTAAGCCCTTCTAGAGAAAACTTTGAAGAATGCCATGCCATATTTTATCTAGGAAAGCTGTTTTGACTGAATCATCCTACTGGGTTACCATCAGGTCTTGTTGACATCCAAAGAAGTCTCATTCAGAATCTTTTATAAAGGAGAAGTCTGAGTCAAATGTCCTTTCTGGCCTTATACGTCAACATGGTAGGTCTTGTTTTAATTAATTAATTAGAAATTATTTACTCAATTACTACTTTATGCTGGGCAATATATTAGGCACAAGGATACATCTAAATGCCACCTTCTAAGAATCTTCAGTCTTTGACATGTTCTTCTTGTCAGCCTTTCCTGACTTGACTTCCTATCCCATCTGTCTTGGATTCCATATTCTATTATTTTAGCATCTTCCTTGCCCAAATCCTCAACTTATTTTTGCCATTGTCCTTCTGAGTTTGTGACCTCATAAAATCTTAAACCATAGTGTCTTCACATTTC